CCGATTCAAAACCACAAAAACTATATTATCTGCAAAACTTTTTTGCAAAAACCAGGGGGGGGTGAAAACGGCCGTGGGCTCAGAATTGAGCCTGGTCAGTGGTACCTACCATGAAAATAAAGTAAGTGTTGTCATGGAAATGGCGTCATTTTCACTCAAAATCCGCCATGTTTTTGGCTTCACTTCGTTGACTGAACGAAGTATAGGAGCAGGTCCTCCAGTTATTATACAGCTCAGTGATGACCACCCATCGTTGGTGACCGACGCCCGCGCTCATTGATGAACTTTAGACTCCGCTAATGCTTTCGTTTCCCCGGGTGTAAATAGCCGGGGGGAATTAGTACCCTCGCACGGCGCTTCGCGCCGCCGGCTCGGGGATTAATTAGGCATACACTCGAGCATCTGTGCGGTTATGTTCTTGCTGTCGTTGTCGTTGTCGCTGTCATTGTCGCTGTCGCTGTCGTTGTTGCTGTCGTTGTTGCTGTCGTTGTCGCTGTCGTTGTCGCTGTCTTTGACGCTGTCTTTGACGCTGTCTTTGTCGCTGTCTTTGTCGCTGTCTTTGCCGCTGTCTTTGTCGCTATCTTTGTCGCTGTCGTTTGCACACCCGCCGCTTTGTTCTCACAAATTGCGCATTTGAATTTATATCCTTCCCGTCTCATTTTGAATGTTTGAGTAACATGAAATATTATATAGCATCAGGAATGAAATCAAAACCAAACTGTACAATGGAATGAAGCGTATAGCACAAAAATGAACTGTCAGAAAAATGGGGAATTTATTCCTTAGCACGTGATGATAACCAGCCCATTAATCTCGTAATTCAACCTGATGATCCTTGAACAAAGTTAAAGCAAAAACAGAGTAAGAAATAAGTACGAGGTTCTCATTTTGAATACGGGCTTAGTACGAATCGAACAATATCCGACAAGTATGAAAATAACAGAAATGTTTTTTTCTTCAATTTCCCTAAAAGTTGATCGGTCCAGCAATTATATTGGTCAGAGAAAATGCAATGAAATATCAAAAAATATCCTGCATGTGTGGTTATGGACAAAACAACAACGATCTTATTCATAGGAACGAAGCATGGGAGAAATTATCAACACTGGACAGTAAATTAGCCGACTAATATTAGTAAACCGAGCCGTTCACAAGCTGAGAATTGTGCAGTGGTTTATATTATGTAGCAATCTCATCTGTTGCACACAATTGTGAAATCTTGCTTCAATTACATTTCTTTTATTAAAGTGTATTGTGGATTTTTGTTCGCTTGTCCTAGTGATCTGAAATTCGAAGCTCATAACTTATTTTTCTTTGATATTTAATACAGAAATGTCTACTACCAAGTATGGGTGACTGCATACAAAAGAGTTAGAAAGACAAGACCAGTTTATATTTGCATGGTTGGATGGAAACCCAAAGGCAGCGAATGCACCACACGTAAGTTTACACATTTAAATAAAATCTGATTTAAACGAATTAAAATTTCATTTATTGGCCAAACTGTTTATATACTCATATTGTCAGACAAAAATAACGTAATTTCTCGGCGATGCGAAAAAGAGGATTTTTGTCTTAAAAAACAGAATGAATTAATGCATGTACACTATAAATCTGGGAGAGTTACAACAAAAGCAAAATCTTTGGTGTCAACTTACACTGTATCTGAAAACAATGTACACCATTTTATTGCTGGCTGGATGCAGCCGTGCATGTATGTAGACAGACTTGGTGGAAATCTGGACGATGACACAGCTTTTATTTGAAACAGTTACTTTTTCATATACACTACATGTTGGAAGCACAAAGTTCACTGTATCGTTTTGTGTGTTACATAGGCATCTTGACGTACGAACCATTATATTGCGCGGCGAAACAGTCATTTTGTTGAAAAAACAAATCGTATTTTACGTGCTGAAAATTCGAAAAATCCTGTCGCGGACTGTCAACATAAAAATTATTACCCTGCGGTGTCGACCACGCCCAGCAGAGACAACAACCGTCTGCCAAAAAAATTGACTGAAGTATAAAAAAATGGTAGGTACGCCCGTGATTTTAATTTATCGCCTCATTAAGAAGACGAGTCTTCTTGACGCTGAATTTGTGAATTAAAACAGCGTTCACGATATGATCAATGTTACGCCGGTAAATAATAATAATAGTTATAGAGTAATAATATTTTTTAAAAACTTTGCAAACACTTATATATTCTTACCCGTGTATATAGTCACACATTTATGAGTCAAAATCAATTTTTTACCGAATTACAATTAATATATCAAATAACAGTACAGTTCTCCGAATAAATCTATACACTGTCACGCATTAGTAGTTAATAGAATTTGAGCTTTTCAGGGCAAGACCAGTTTTTATTTCTTTTAAGAAATATGTAGAGTATGGCGCGAAGTGCAACCTCCACATACATTTTGTTATGATACGATCGTATTGAAAATCTATAGTAACCTAAATAGCCAACGAAATTAATTGGGGGAAATAGAGCTACTATTCGTGACAAAGCCCATGCAGTGTAATGACTTCCAGGATTATAATTAACTTTAAATCTTTAATAATAGTATTAATATTATAAAGATGCTTTAGAGTCCATTCTGCTCATAGCAACGATTGACTAATATATATAAATATTGCCCAAAATTTGTATCTCTCGACATTTTTTGAATTGAAAAGTAAGTTTATACTCGTTTACAAACATAGCGAACCAGAAAAGAGTTAGTATATCATATTTTACAAATAGAGCAGTTCAAAATGAAAACAAAGCGTTTTTTAATATAAATTTAAAAGTTCTTTAATTAAAATGAAATAATAGAAAAAGATATTGCCGTATCCCTTAGGATAAAATTTAAAAATGCAGTTACTATAGTGTTAACAAAAGGTTATGTTCATGTCATATTTTGTGAAATTTTTCTTAACTTTCAAGTTTCAAGTTTCACTGAAAATGATGAAAATTGTTCTTTCTCTGTTTCTATGGGCAGACTGTTCCAGTCATAAGTATTGTATAATCACTGAATGACCCAGTTTCTCTTCAAGCATTTCAAATTTTCGCACTGTTGTGTTTCGGTTGTTTTATATGCGGATGTAGTTTTGCTAACCTTCATGCATTTCAGATAAGCCGGTCTATATTTTTATTTAATTCAGGGCAGGAACTTATTGGATAACTAGGTTAAAGTGATAATCCGGATGTCGAAAGGATTGTCCAGTCGTGTTTTTATATGGCGTGGGCCGTAGGCCACGTTTTCACCTTGTACCCAGTATTGATTAAGACATTTTGATCGAATTCTGACATTTAAAACGGCAAAAACTCAAAGACTATTTGATGAATCAAAAAACTGTTTAAAAAAGGTTTATATGCTTTTTGTACGTTTTCTCGGAATTGAGAACTACACTTTTTTTTGGAGGCTAACTAAACATCGATAGTATACTATTACAAATAATGAATGTGCATGAGTGCAATGGTAAGAATATTTTCATGAGGTGAAAGATGGAATGTTCCTTACAACGAGGCGACAGCCGAGTATTAAACGATCAGAATTCAATAAGGTATCATATAATATATACTATTCATTGAAACTCAGAAAATCTATTCCCGGTAGGGTTACCACGAAACGAAATAATATTCGACAACGACCCATGCCGTATGTTTTAAATTTCACTGATTTATCTTCCTACTCTCAATGAAGAACCGGTAGCTTATTTCATTTGTGGAGATTTATTTCTACTCAGCTTTATTCGTTTTCAGTATTTTTTAAATATTTTTATTTATTATTTTTGGATGTTTTTTTTATTTATAGTTTCAACTAAATGTTCGCGTTTTGCCAGCTTTAAGACTAATTGTTCGCTCAGCATTTCCCATTATGTCGCTACGCATGACATGATGGAATAGTGTCGTGAAACATTACACCTAGTTGTTTTTTTTATTCCTAGTTGTTTTTTTTATTCCTTAGCTATATGCACTGGTGGTTGTCAAAACGGTGGTGCTTGTATTTCCCCTCAAACTTGTCATTGTGGAACCGGTTGGACAGGATCTCGATGTGCTAGTGGTGAGTATCTATTCTACTATTTTAGCTTCTTAATATTTCATTCTTCGTACTACTGTTATGTTGTCTTTTCTCGATCTAACTCAATTGATTAGGATTGAAAAGCATACTGTATCTTGGATATATTTTTTTATTGTTCTTTGATTCGCTACAAGAAGCTGGCTTAATTATTTTACATAAAACTGGAAGTAACAAACCGGATATGAATATACAACATCCTCCTTTCTATAAGATTTTTTTTACAAGTTTTATTAATTTAATATGAAAAATTATATTTATATTATATATAAATATATTCCTAGATTGTTTATCTTCACATTGTCTTTATCATATGTTTTAATTAAATTTCCACTGGTATTTTATTGATACATAAATCTTACCGATCATATTCTTATTGAAGTCTGTTTGATATATGATCTACTTATACATTAGTCTGTCCGGCTTTCTAATTGTTCGACCTAAGCGTGTTCGAACTTCTAGTTGATCAGGTATCTCGCCATTTCTCATTTCACTTTAATTGGTTATCCTTCACGGCTGAAGGACTTGTTGGTCCAGGTGTCTTCTGCATATCAGGCTTGATTAATTGTCGATTCATCCCTCTGTAATATAGGAACGAGGAGTTGGTCCAAAACCAACTACTCGTGCTGGACTCGATGTTCTTTTACAGGGTCGTGAAGTTGTACAGCTTGATTTTGAATGATATTTGTCTGCTCTTTCGAATCCCTGCTTTTTGGATTGACCTGTTCGTTGTGTTAATAAAAAGTCTATGGTTTTATGCCGATCGTTTTGTAGATGAATCTTTACTGGTAATATTGTCTTGAACATTCTTGTATTTAGTAGCACTGTTGGAGATTTGAGTGTTGCACTTAACGGTGTAGAACGTAACGACAGTAATGAAAGAGTAGGATCATTTCCTGATTCTTTGCATTTCAACAGAATCTTCTTCACATTTTGGACTTGTGTCTCAATGAAGTCATGTCCGTTTGGGCAGTACGGTACAACGGCGACGAAGTGACCATTCTGAAACCATATGCCTTGGCTAGGTCTTGAAATTGTCCCGAATCTAATTGCGTTCCATTATCACAAATCAGAATTTCTGGTATACTTTCCTCAGAAAATGTTGATCTATCCACCTTAACTACAGTAATTAATGTTAGATTATTTAACTTCTTCATGAACGGAAACTTCGAGTAATAGTCAGCGATGGCAATGTACTTGAAATTATTTACCTTGAATAGGTCAGCGCTCACAGTATGACATGGTATTTGCAGTCCTTCACTTACAATCATGGGCTCCTTCGGCTGGGAATTCTGAAATTTCTTGTAGGCCCCGCAGGACGTCACCATACTTTTAATCTCCTTGTATATGCCACGGGCCATTAGACGCAGGATTTTAATTTGCGCGAAGTTTGCACTTCTCCATCCCTTGATGACCACTGTGGGTTATTTACATTACTGGGACAATTATTCAACTCCTTCTTGAATAGAATTTATTGCTTGCTGAGTTTTCTTTATACTACCAGGCCACTCTTGTATAACTTGCTCGCCAAGGATTTGAAGAGTTCCATCTTTAGCAGCTTCTTCTCTTATCTGTTGGAGCTCGACAGGCGAGAACTGCACTAGATGATGAATTTTTACTTGCATTGCTGGGATTTCGTTTCTCTCCATTGGTGACAGCCGGATCTCGCAGACGGTAAATAACATATATATTTTTGTACCCAATTAACCAATCAGACTGCGTGCAAGTTAATTTGGTATCGAATAATTACGATCAATATTATATTCCAAAGAAACGTTAATTAATTTCAGTGAGTAGGTTTTTGTTTCACAAAAGATGCCCATTGTATAGTACAAAAGTGAATCTATTTCTATTACATGTTCTGTGTTGAAAAGTGTGCTATTACCATCTCTGCTATTACCATCTCTTTGCCTGGCTTATATTTGATGATACAATGGTGTGGTTGCAAGAGTATCAGCATTCTGCCATGTCGAGATTATTCTACCGGATCAGTTCCAAAGGACGATGATCACTTTTCGCAACAAATTGCCTTCCACATAAGTATGTGTGGAACGTCTAACAACCATAACCACTTCCAATAATTCACGCCCGATGTTGGCGTATCGACTCTCAGAAGGAGTCAGGGCTTTCGATGCAAAGGCAATGGACTTGTTCTCTTGGAGTAGGACGGCTCCCAAGCGTTTACTTGATGGGTCTACTTGTAGCACAACTGCTTTGCTTCTGTGGTAGTAGGAAAGTGTAGTTTCTGTGCTTATTTGACACTTGATTATGTCAAGAGCTCTTGTATGCGACAGGCACCATGGGTGATCAACGTTATCCTGGACTACCTCCTTCAATGATGCCGTGTGACTGCCAAGTTTGGCTTAAATGGCGCCAAATAGTTGAGCATGCCAAAGAACTTTCTTATCTTTGGGTGCATTGTTCCATGTTCTGTATGGCTATGACCTTCTCTGGATCCGGTTTGACTAAACTCGAGGTGTACAACATACCAAAAACTTCATTCGGAAGTCCTGACGATGCTCTTCTCTTTGTTGAGTTTGATGCCAGACGATCTTGTACGTTCGAATACATTGCATCATGAAGATGTAGATGGTAGGATGAATTCGTCATCCAAATTTAACTTTTCAGTATCTGTTGCGAGCATCTATTGTATATAAAAAAGATCCTTTACCTGTGTTTTGGTCGGCAAAGCAACTGAACATGAATCCGTCGTTGTCGAAAGCGACTGTATTTGTCAAAGCCAGAACAGCAGACCTAAACTTTTCATTCTTATCTGGTACCATATTTATGAAAGTAGCATTACATTTCTATTGAAACTATATGTCTTTGGTGTTTGTTGCTAGTTTTCTCGTGTTTTCGTATTCGTGCTTATCCTTCAACGTTTCAATTTTTGTCAGCCTCGCTTTAACACAATGATCTAAAATTTGGCATTCAACGCTGGAATTTAAATGAATTTCATTTTACTTCTGATAAGAAACAACACGTTATTTACCGGCAGCGTCGGTCCGGAGATAACAACTGTGCTCTCGAGCTCGGTCTTGAAAACGTCCCTCGCCCTTTTGGTTCGGACCTTTTTTGAAGACCTAGGGAGCAGTTTTTCTTATCCGGACCTCGCAGCCGGTAAATAACATATATATTTTTGTACCCAACTAAGCAATCACACCGCGTGCAAGTTAATTTGGTATCGAATAATTATGCTTAATATCATGTTCCAAAGAACCCTTAATTAATTTGAGCTGGGTAGGTTTTTGTTTCGCAAAAGATGCCCATTGTATAAACCAAAAGTGAATCTATTTCTATTCAACCAGTACGTATTTGCATACCGGTAGCGTACATTTCCCGGTCCCTACCTTTCCCGCTGGCCATACAGTCCGTGATGAGTATACCCGTTCGCAGTTTAAAATTTGAAATTTGAGACGACGACTTGTGTAGGTGTAAGGCCTGCTAAAACACCTGTCGTTTAATTGGATTGCTCTGACGTTTACTTGGTTGCATCGATTTTCTTCAAAAATATGGCACATCGTTTGCCAATCTTTGGCAATCCCGTTTTGATAGTCTTTTTCTAAATACATCTTGGCAGTTATGGCTGATAAAAGCAACGACGAGCTTCAAAGAATGGAAGGTTTTATAAACATAGCGACAGTCATATAGACGTCGTGAATCTGTCATTCGGTCTAATAATGTAATGGGTTTATGAACGTTTTGACAATATCCACAAGGATTTAAACAGTTAAACTGTATAAAGGCAATATAAAAGGAATAAATTTCGTATATAAACCACACGCTTAACGTACGATGTGTCATATATAAAACCGTATTTGTCTGTTTTAGAAGTATCCAAATTAACTGATATATATCTGCTCCTCTTTATAAATCAATGTATGCTTGTTTATGCATATCGAGGATACGAAAAGCGGTCTATATCAGAAGTAGTTAATAAAGACTTTAATACTAATGCTGATCTGAGAATCATATAAGAATTTGGCTTGTGACTTCAGCCATCTTGGAAAATTAGTCCGAAAGCCTTTCCGTTTCTTCCCAACTAATTTTCACCGTCCAGAAATGTTCGCCTCCCTAATTTTTGGAAGGTCTGCGGAGGATTTAGTGCCGAGCCTGTATCAAACTGGGATAGTTTAGGAAATAAATTATATCACCAAACACGCAAACAATCAGCATGAAAAAATTCGGAAATTTAAATTGATCGAATTATAAAACATTTTATGTCAAGCGTGGATTTTAACACGTTCGGATCCTAGTTAAGCAAACCAAACCTTTTAATATTTAAAACAATAATCTGTACTTTTCACAGGGCGAAAAAAAAGATTTGCACTAGGCTTTGCAACCCGGTGCAAAGGTGCCATTGCCGTAATCGCATCAAATTTGCAAGGTTGCAAATATTTTGGCAAATTTAGAAACCAAATTATAGACGTAAATACCCACAAATTCACTTGTGCAAATGATAGGTAATTTGAGCCAAATTTATCCTATACCCATTCCCTCTCACAAAAGAGAATTGTATTTACCAATATGAGGGTAAAAATCTATTTACCAATTTGCTTTCCAAATTTGAACAAAGTTTGCACAATAGCAAATTTGATGCGATTACGGCAATGGCACCTTTGCAGGGGGTTGCAAAGTTGGTGCAAATCTATTTTTTCGTCCTGTGTTTGGAATTAATTTTAGATATTGATGAATGCAAAACAATTCAGAACAAGTGTGAATACAAACCAGGATGCAGCAACACGCATGGCGACTACACTTGCAGTTGCTCTTCGGGATTTTTCTTGAACGGAGATCAACGAAGCTGTTCAGGTTAGGCAACTAAAGCAAATTATGTTAATATACACAATCATGCACCTCAGTAATGTGTAGGACAAATAATCATTGGTGCATATAAAGAAATAAATAATCATTGGTGCGTAAAAATGAATAAATTATCATTTGTATAAGCACCAAACTATATTTAAAGATAAACACACAAAATAACCAATGTTTTAGGAAGCACATAATAATATTATAAACAAATTGTTTTTAGACATTGATGAGTGCTCTACAGGTCAATATTCGTGTCGTGCAAATACCACATGTCTCAATATCCCTGGCAATTACAGTTGCCCTTGTATCGCAGGATTCATGGTTAATCCTTCTAGAAATCTTTGCGAAGGTAAAGAAATGCAAGCATAAATAAAAACTATTTTTGTAATAGTTGGAATATTTCCTCTCGGTTTATCCTGTTGTCTATTTAATATTTACAATTAGGCCTATCTTTTTTTTCTTTGCGAAATATTTTCTGGGAACTTAATTTTTTTTTAATTTTTTTTTTTTGGGGGTAGTTGGAGCAATAGTGCCGTGGTCCAATGCCTTTCCCCTCCTGTCCATAATCTCACCCATCAATACATCATACGAACTCAATTTCACTTATAATGCTCAAAGTATTCCATCATTCTGTTAAATAACTCGTTAAGTCATTACATTTAGGGAGAACGATTTTTTATGTAAATAATGGTATGTGAAAAGTTTTATAGACCTTAATTTTACTGGTATTGGTCGGAATATGGTGGTAGAATCCGCATCATTCCTGTGTATAATTTGAGCTTTATCAAATGCGTAACACCATAAAACGTGGGTACAAGTTTAGTCCTGTACATCGCGCCAGGTTGGGAGTAGAGTAATATTTCCCCATTCATTTTAAGTGATAGTTCCTATACTTTATTTTGGCAGACATCGATGAATGTAGTCCAAGCAGTGGTATTATCCACGGTTGTCAGATGAATTGTCATAATTTACCTGGAAATTATAGCTGCAGTTGTGACAAAGGGTTTAATCTTACATCAAATGGAAGAGATTGCTCTGGTACAGACGTTAAGAAATCCCTTCATTAATGCATGCCTTCGTTGATGGAGGATGCATTCAAATTGAAATTTTTTACACATTGTGATAATTTAAATGATTGGTTGATTTTTATCATTTGTTTTCCGTCTTAACCCCTTATGCGCATAAGATCAGATTGCTTTATGAGATTTGAAACGTAGCATGTTCAAGGTGCGCTATTACACACTACAAAACTGCAGCAACCTCCTGATGGTGCACTGCTTAATTAAAAATCAAATAATTCTTCTTCAATATTTTATATACCTATATACTATATTTAAAGAAGCGATCAAATCCGGATGTGCATGGCGTTTGTTTACATTTTAAAGACAATCGTTAATATCTAACGCGAAATTGGTGAACAGTTTACAGCAGAGAGGCCTCATATAAAGCACATGCGCAGAACACACTTGACCTCACATTTAAATACAAAAATGTTTGCGCTCTTTGCAAACATTTCTAATTATTACAATAGTTTACAAAGCCATGTGTGTCTATGTATACCTGCAATGTTTACTATACAAGTCAGCAGAATAGTGCGTCAAATGTCAACATGGATGTAGATATCGGGGGGGGGGGGGTATGGTAAATACTTTTCTGCACAAATTTATGCATAACGTTCATCTAAGATGTTTGGCCAATGTTTTTGTTTATTTCGTTAGACCATGATGAATGCAAAGGTAATCGACATGGCTGTGAGCAACAGTGTTCGAATTTACCTGGTGGTTATACGTGTACTTGCTCAGTTGGCTACAGATTGAATGCTAAAGATCTCAAAACGTGTGATGGTATTAATTTTACAAATGAAATACTGATATAATTATTGATTTTACATCTTTACGTGATACCATTAATCAGATTAAACTGTCGAATTTATTATTATTAGGTTTCAGGGTTTTTTTCGTGATAATTTCAATCATTTTAGAGCCATGCAATAAACTAATTTGAAAACATAAATAACTACAGCGATTATATGACCAGGCATGAGTCTAATACCATTTCGACTATTAATGTAAGGTAATACTTAGACCTTTCAAGTTCCTCTATTGCGATGCAATCGCCAATCTCGCGTAAAGTAACTCCTCCCGCAGTGACGAAAAACGACCGTGTCTGCAAAATACGGGAAATTGCGGCACTCCTATTTCACGATAGCATTACATACAGTAGATCATTCCTAGGAATAAGTTGTTTCTGGAATTCTAAAGTTATTTTAGCAAATGAAAAATTTTGGAAATGAAGTGTATCTTAAATCGGAATAAATTACTTTTTATCATCTAACGAACATGATTATTAATTTTTTGGCTTAAGACCGAGAGTTTATTAAGCAATGACGAGTTTTTCTCTTTAAACACAGTAGCTTTGTCGCATGAATAGAATTTAAAATTATTTTCCGTCGATTTGGGGCATCTGCTATAGGCCCGGCCTGTAGTTGCATTTTATCGAAACTGTTCTTACGTCTGCAAGTATTCTAAAAGCTCACTCACACTCAAAGAGTGGAGGTTAGGCCCACTCTGGGGCGATAAATCGCCTGTAATAGCCTAAAATCGCATTAAATCGCAGGTTAAAACTGTCAAATTTCTCTTAAATCGCCAACATGCATTCTGTTTGATACATTCAGTCCATGTACTCAAGTTTTTCAATTGCTGCTATTTTACGGGCAAATCATGTAATCCAGATGCTTTGCAATCAAAAGTAATGCAACATGAATTAGCAATCAAATAAGTGGATTAAGCTGACAATATTTGGTCACTCAATAGGCACCGGTCATTGACAAAAACAGAGGCTTTTTCTACTTTATGCAGACTTTACAATAATTAGATAATTCTGGGATCTGAAAGATCCATAGATCCCTTATACTACCAGCAACAAAATTGAGCTAGTTACCAGAATGAATTAATTTCATTATTCGTGTAAATGGAGGTTGGGCTACAATTTATATGGACTATGGAGGCTGGGCTACAAATTAATCTATAATCTACATGGCTTTTCAAAGCCTAATTGCTGTTAATTAGAACGACAGTACGAGACTAGGAAAGTCAATTAGTACGAGTGTTGATTTAAAGTTTGTTCGTTCACTGTAACCAGGTATATCAATCATGTTTCGCTCGCTACTCTGGTTTAAATAAATGATTACAAAGCCCAGTCGAATTGTAATCAAGACCCAACGTTTCGACACTCCAGTCTAGTGTCTTCATCAGAGGTGATCTGAAACTGCGATCGAGGCTTCTTAAATACCCAAGGGATGACGTCACCTGCCAAGAAGATGCATATATTCTTCTGGCAAATAGGCGCCGTCATCCCTATTCAAAGCATGATGACTCATATTTATATGCCACGCTTCTAGGCAAAGTCTTTGACCACAAGTGACCTTGGGTATTTAAGAAGCCTCGATCGCAGTTTCAGATCACCCCTGATGAAGACACTAGACTGGAGTGTCGAAACGTTGGGTCTTGATTACAATTCGACTGGGCTTTGTAATCATTTATTTAATTTAAACCAGAGTAGCGAGCGAAACATGAGTGTTGATTTATATAATAAAGTCATCCTGTAATTTGTGCACTGTTGCATGTAACATCGAGCATTGCATTGTATACAATGGTTGTACTTCAACATGTGCATGGTTATACTCTAGCTCCTAGTTATAATTATAGTGGCTATCAAACGAAAAATATACGTGAGTTTATGAGTGATTTGCAACTCTCGTCTAATAAATTTTCCAGACCTGTATATACAATAAACAGTAAAACAATGATTACGTCGTACATACCATACAATAGATCTTTTGTTGTTGTTTGTTTGCAGAACCTAAAACCACGATGTAGTGCGCCATTTCTTTAATACTGTATTATTTTGTTTTTAATTTTAAAATAATTTAGAAATTAGAATTCCTACCATTTATATACGATATACTTCATGTAATTTAGACATTACGGCATTATGCCGACAGTTTCCGAATGCATGACGATACTGTTTCTGGATATCGCACTGGGATATGATATATACTGTAGATGTCAAAAATTTTATAAAACATGTTTGTAGCATGAAGAAAGCATGAGATTGAAACAGTTTAAATAAAATGCAAGCTAAATAAAGAAGTTTTGACATGATACAAAACAAGACAATTTCACTTACAAGGGTGACAAGGTAATTTATAGGATTATAGCTTATTCAGTTATACTGTATAAATACATTGTGTGTTTCTCTTGTGGGTTTTTTGGAAATCAAATATTTATTATATTTTGTAATTTTAACTCGACATAAATTAACGATATTAAAGTTTAAGACATGTGTAGTGCATGCCCCTTAATTAAGTAGAGTATATTAACTGTTCACAATATTTGTGGTATATAATATAGCCATGAATGACCACATGACCCCACAAGATGAACCGCAATGGCTTCTAAATAGAAAATGGATGAAAAGTTCATGAATATTGAGCTTTATATGTGAATCAGGTTAAATACAATAATTAGTTAACCTAACTTTATATAAAATGTACATACTGTACATGTTCTAAAAATTGTATTTTGCTTCATACAATGCATTATTATTTAGCTCATTCCCACATTGGGGCTTTTCAGTGACCGATTACATCAAGTCCTATGATTACTTATATTAGCCTAGACTATTTATCTTTACAACAATGAGAACATGATATTACTTTCCTTACTGTGTTTATATCCTAACCCACCCTGCCAATTTTGCCTTGTGGGAAAAAAACCGGAGCAAAATATAAAATTCAATTCCTTTAAAAACACCTAAATTGCAATCCCTAAAATTTAAAATTTGTTCTTAAATCGCCTAATATCGCATTAAATCGCAGTGCTTGAAAGTCCCAGTCCCTAAAATCGCATTATATCGCAGCAATTTAAGGCGATTTACCGCCCCAGAGTAGGCCTGAGGTTCATGATCAATAGCCTAATATTTGAGCATCCTTTGGGTGTCAATGCTGTTTTTAATTAGCTGGAGGCTGAGTGACTACATGGTATGGAACGACACTAACCCTTCAACTATTCAAAAACAGCACTGACAGCACTGACACCCGAGAGAAGCTCAGATTGAACAATTATTCAGTGTGAGTGAGTTTTAGAATACCGGCGTCAGTTAGGTTGAAATTCCCTGCACTGAAACACCAAAACTTTTAGAATGATAGGAACCAGTACCGGTTTACATTAAAGTTTTTATTGCAATAGTCAACAGAAATAAGCACATTTTAGCCTTTCCATGTTACAGATGTAAATGAATGTTCAGAGAACATCTCTGGATGTGCTCAAAATTGTGAAAACACCTTTGGCGGATTCAAATGTTCCTGTAACCAAGGATATCTCCTTCAGAAGGACTTAAAGTCTTGCATTGGTAAGTTTATGAAAGAACAACAGAAGAATACAATATCTTTATCAACATTGACTCGCTTCGAATTTCACGCTAAACTTTTTTGTTTTCATACTGTACATTTAATTCGTCTGAAAAAATGAAATTGAACTTTATATCAACAACGATCATCAGCAATAACCACCAGGCCCGCATATATATTATATTACCGTACATGCATGCAGTTTAGCAGCAAATTAAGTCATTAAAATTGAAAATTCTACGTCTAGATTAGTAGCTTCCAGGTTGTACTGAATTGTGATAAGAGTATGGTGTTTGATTCTCGTCTGCCCAATCACATATTATGTATATTCTGTCCTATATATATATATATATATATATATATATATATATATATATATATATATATATATATATATATATATATATATATATATATATATATATATATATATATATATATATATATATATATATATATATATATATATATATATAAAAGTAAACCCGAGAAATCCACAGATTTCATACAATATACATACATCGGCAACCCAATTATATTTAATCATAGGATTCAAACAGCCAATCAATGTTAAGTAAAGTGGGATATTAGCAAAGCAAAGATTCTACAATTGTCATGATTACTCTTTGATGTCTAGGCATTTTTTGCAGTATAAAACAAATGAATATGAATAGCTAAACTATCAAATAAGTGTAGAAAAATATCCCCCCATAATAACAGGCAAATTAAGAACAAACTCTTCTATCAAACCTGTTAAAAATGCGAACAAAAGCAACTTTAACGCGCCAGACACAAGAAGGTACATTCAGCTATTATATAGTTCCCATGTTTGAGCCCATGAAACTGCGCTAAAACTTTATTAAATTTTTCGTAACACCTATAATATGTTTAAACTAGTCTAGTACTTACTTGTTTTGTCTCTTATATATAATTAATTATTATGAATCTCCTGATTTTCAAAAACTGTTTTTGAGATTTTTTGAACGTATAAAGTACCATTTCACGAACTATAGCCTATATAAGTTAATCTTGTTCGCTTATATAGTTGCTACGCTACGGTATTGAGGAAGGTACAAGTAGTATGTCTTTTGCGAACAAAAACGTTTCCGATTTACAGAAATGTTGAAGACTTCAAAATGAATATAATATAGGGCCTATAGCGCATTTTGTAAGTGATATTTTTTGTTTCACCACCCAAAACGATACACAGATACAAGATTTTAGCCTAAATGAGAAATACATTCAAATAGGACACCACAGCGACTCTTCTTTCAATATTTTAATTTCAAGATTCAGAAACAACTATAAATTAAATTATATTTTGCGGTTTAGTATATGTCCGCTTTCTTCTTTTTGCCATAGTCTTCCGCTTTGCATCGCAACGCTGAGCAACAACCAATAAAATTCAATAGATTTTGGCTGCTCAAATTCAATTAGTTTTCTCTAAAATTTCTTGGAATTCTTAACTATGCCGATAAAACTTGTTGGCAGATTTTGTACAAACATATAAAAATATCTTTGCTGCCAGGTTGCTGGAACGGACTTGTTAGAACTAGGCAACCGCAACAACTTGTTAACCAGTTGTTTCAAGAAACGTAATTATGGCTTGTTGTACTAAGAAGCTTAACTTGGCACAAGTTGCACAAATAATTTGCTACTTGTTTACAAGCCGCAGCTAGCGAGGTCCTTATCCAAACGACGAAAGGTGCATTTATGAAATGCGCGACTCGTGCATGTGTACACCTAAATATAGAAAATAGTCATGACTGTGACAGAGGGCCTAGGTACGACCAATAATGGTTGAATGGAGCACAATGTGAGGTTAAGTTTTCTAGGAAATTTGGGTCCAGAAAAAGCGAGGGAAATAAAATTATTATTTCTTGCTCTCTAGATCGATTGACTAACTGTAATATAATTATTTTTGGCAGACGTTGACGAGTGCTCAAAACCAGTTGATTATTGTCACCAAGTATGCTTGAACACCCCTGGTAGTTACAGATGTACCTGCAGACGCGGGTTTGATTTACATCTTGACGGAAAAAGTTGTATAGGTAATTATCATATTATATTTTTCACAGTATAGTGACAAAAAACTTTCCCTTGATTAATAGTCTACAAAAAAACGAAAGCTTAACAGCTGGGCATGTTAAACATTAAAAACTAAAATATTTCAACTTTTAATGAAGCAGTTTAATAGGGAGAAAATGTTTAGAAAACAATGCATTTCTGCAGTTCTGTTGGCATGCATTCAACTGCCAAAACGTTAAATTGTATTCATTTCTCAGGTTGACAAATAAAGGACCGTGTTACAGATTGATTTTAAAACAAAAGATTGTGAATACGTAGCTTTGTTTCTTAATTTTACTGAGTTAAAATTAACCTGTTTCCGGATTAATAAATCAGCTCAAAAGCTCAAAAGAAATCATGACCGTGAAGGAGGTTTTATATCTCATACAAAATTATGAAAATTTTAAAATAAACTTTAAGTTGAATTTCGTAATTCTCACGAACTATCATTTATTTCAGTTAAACTATTAAGAATGCGCATGTTCTCATCTACACCTTTTTACCTTAATTCGCGGCTCAAATTTGTATATACCCGATACAACACGGCTGCTCGTGTGGTAAATATTAGCTGCTTAGGGAACACAAAAATTCAAATAATCAGGTGGATTTTTACTAGCACTTTTGCCCATAAAACTCTGTATAGAAGGTATAAAGAGACCGAACTAACTCAGTGGGATTCTACGGCGAACTGCATAGAGATATTAAATGGTAAGCTTCAGTTCAGCGTCGTCTTTATTGTTGGTTTTGTTTTTACAAGGTCGACCATGTTTTCCGATATACAAGCCGATAAATGGAATAAAAAACTGCACTGGTTATAGGACCGAAGATATTTGTAATTTTCAGTGCCTGCCTGGGTATGATTTGAGTGGTTCCCCGGCAAGATCATGCGGTCCCAATAAACAATGGACAGGAAATAATACAGAATGCCAAAGTAAGTCGCGCTTATAATAACTAAAGATGTCCGCGTAATTATTGAAACGCCGTGACGATCATAGAGATTATAAATAACACTAGAGAAGGCATCGAGTTTAAAAATTGGGAACGCAGCTAATGGGGGGCAAATTCAAGTCCCGGATATAGAATCGTGCTCCCATTGGCTGATTTGAACTCGTCACCAATGGGAACACGAATACACATCCGGGACTTGAATTTGCCCCCAATAGTCGCGTTCCCTTTTTTTACTGAACTAAGATTACAATGCCTCCTCTAGTATTATTTATAATCTCTATGGTGACGATACTAATTGTTTTTACTTGTATATAGATGATGTTGTAAACATAACCTTTATGGCATTTCTCATTTACAGTAATTCATTGTGCCAATCCTAGCGAACCGGGCAATGGTTTCGTGTACTCGCCGTGTGCCACTCACTATGGTTCGCAATGCTCATTTGGCTGTAATAATGGTTATTTTACTGATTCCGGAGACCTCAGTTGTGATGCAGATGGTTTATGGAAGCCAAGTAACGCTTCGTGTAAAGGTAAATAGTTCATTTTTGTAGTACATATTTCCAAGGTGGGCCTCCTGTGATCTTTCGTAGCGAATAAAAAATACATTGAACCCATGCATATATTATTGAAGTGCGTAATATGAAGTGGTTACGTACAAATGTTTAGAAATGTGGATGGTACCGCGCCTGGTTTCAGCTCTTGCTTTAGCGGTATTTGGAATGAATCAGACGTAAATTCGCGATTGAAATACACGAATTGTTTAAATTACCGGGTGTCCCAAAAAAAGTACTCCGGTTTGATTTATAATAACTTCTAAACAAGTAAAGCTATCAAACAGAAATAACTTGCATTAAATAGAGGAAGGACTAACTTAGATTTTGATATATTACAGTTGTATTTTACTTAAAAATTCACGGAGATATTAATGTTCAAAAATCGGGAGCATATTTTGGCATGTGTCTATAAAATTAGCGAAAATCGGCGTATCAAATTTTAACTCCAGCGTTTGTTTGCTTAATGACATATCAGGGTAAATTGTATTTCAGCGAATTGTCGTTAGGGTTTATAAGGGATATGGCGTAGATTTAGACATCTTACATGTAAGTTTTAACTTATTGTTTCCTGAAATATGAACGTTCGAAATTATGTAAGTATTTATTAGGTCTTTGCAAACTTAAGGTACTGAAAGACCATGCAAGGCAGGCGCTTCAATTTTTCTTAAATAACCTATTTTTTATGTTTTTCATGGGTTCAAAACAAAGTTGATTATTTCTCGGTTAGAGCAGGATTAATATTGTTCTTTAATGGAGGAAATAATATTGCTTTTTGCAAATACACATCACAGTATCAAAGCTACTATTTTGTTACGTTTTGTTCCAAAAATGTTGGATGTCTCTGGGGAGTTGCATGCTTGTTATGTCTTTACTTATGGAGTTGTATGGTTTGATTGTGTTTCATTCTCAGTTTATTCTGAACTTGCCAAGATTAAGAAAGGGAAAAGAGTTTGGGTGTTCTTAACAAGATTTCAGAACGTTGCAGAAGTTAGAAAATTCATTCAATGTGAAGTTAGAAAATTCACAATTCCAATGCGACAGCGTGCCCTAATTCAGAACTACGAACTATCCATGACTATCCTTCGCGATGCAGTGGTCTCATGAAATAAGGAAACGTATTCGTGCTACGAACACACGCGAATTTCGGACGAATAAATCTTGCTTGTATTTTGTAGATAATAATACTTTGTTTCATAATAAACAATTTGTCAAGTGTCATTTATTTACAGGTAATAGTGCATGTTTCAGTCGGGTAAATCTTGATTAATATTTGATACGCTGTTTTTGGCATATTTCAGACACATCAAGAAATATGCTCCCGATTTTAAACATTAATATCTCCGTGAATGGTTAAGTGAAATACAACTGTAATATATCAAAATCTAAGTTAGTCCTTCCTCTATTTGATGCAAGTTATTTCTCTTTAAAAGCTTTACTTGTTTAGAAGTTATTTCGAATCAAACCGGAGTACTTTTTTTTGGGACACCCGGTACATTGGAAGAATTTTCTGCGAATTCTCTCCGATCACGCTTGTCGCAAACGTGTTGTTCTTGGATTACTTGGCATATGCGATTGCCACAGTTTCCATTGGATGTGGAGTGTATCTTCACCTATATGCATTGAGAACTTCGACTTTTGTGGGGTTGTTATAAGAAGCATGGATCGATTTCCTTTGTATTTACAGGCACGTGAATTCCTACCCATCAACATTCTTTAGCTTTTTTTTCAGGTATCTTCAATTGAATTATATTTCAAAACGTTTCAACAAAAAATTAATATGCATGCTAACACTTGAAGCAAAACGATCAAGCAAATAGGTTTTTCGCTCACTTGCACGTCACGGCACAAAAAGAACAGACTATATTCGTCCACTGTTCAACAAATAAGGCGGTGATATATTAAGAACGAGAAAATGGAAAAAAAATAACTTCTCGCAAACGAAGAACGTTTCACATAAGCACATAATGTTGCAAGCGAATAACAGGATAATTATTTAATTACTCGTTTCTAATTGCACAAATTTTCATTTAATTAATAAACTATTTTTTAGAAATCGAAGTGTGTCAACCAAATCCATGCCTTCATAATGGCACATGTTCAGTAGTCAATGAGGACAAATACACCTGCGACTGCACTCTCACAGGATACAAGGGAACGAAATGTGAAATTGGATTCTTTAAAATTTCTGACTACCCAACAATAACCCAGAACGTTTTATCTCCGCCTATTGCAATCGTGTCCTCACCACCGACAGAGTATGTTATATTGCATTTAATGAGTCCTGACTTGATCTTCAGTTCGCCAAGGCTAGTTTTCAATCCGAATACTCCACTAAATCAGTCAATTAGAGTAACAGCTCGAGAAGAAGGGTATTATTTGATCAAGTACTCACTAACAGGTCCTAACGCTCGAGAATTTAACGTACCAGAAGAAGATATTATATTCGTTAATATGCCAAATAATGCAACGCAGAATTCATCAATAGAAATGTCAGCTTTAGACTTCCCCTATGGTTGTTACAAAAAATATTTTGGAACGTGTCCTGGACTAAACGCGTCCATCATCGTATCTTCGACTTCTCCTTTTGTATCATTTGGTCCATTATCTACGACACAAGGCGTTGTTGCGATAGAAGTGGGCAACTTTATGAAATTACCCTTGTCGTTGCTCGGTGTAAATTTACCAGATTCAAGCGCAAACTCACCTGTAGATTCTTGTAAAGGCAACGGTGATGTTACTTATACTGTGGAATCAATTGTAAAATCACGTAGTTTAGCTAAATCGTTTATAAATACTGCGACAGAAAACTTGCCAACATGGATGAACGTCACTTTGGGTGAAGGAAATTTGGGTACAAATATTTACTCCACGGAACTGAGAACTCGATTTTTAAATGGACTAGAACTTCGTGAAGCCGGCGTTGGTACAGGCCTTCCTGTAGTTGACGATATGTTTTACTCCCTTCTTTCGACAAATAATCTGAACGTAACCATAGAAAACGACGCTGATATTTTGAAATCTAAGTCCCTGTCTTTGGCTATAGAAATTTGTGGAAAATTGTCGTCGAATATTCTCCTGCGTCCAAGTAAAGAGGATATAGCTCAAGTAAATAACATATCCATTTTAAAGGAGATTAAAAAATATGGCTGGAATCTTAACGTTAGTTCCGTTCAATTTTCTAAGACAAACCGGATAAGAAGGCCCAAAAAAGAAGGTTTTTGGGATGGCCACAAATATTTCAATGTGGAAGCTTCGTCTGATGGTACGTTTGCGGTAGAATCGTCACTCGACAAACATTTCAGAAATTCACCCTTTGCTGACATAAGAATGAACTTTGACGGAACTATTATTGGCCAAATGAAAGATCTAAACAAGGTTATAAATTATACTTTAATTGGTTTTAAATTAGGAGCCAAACACTGTCCTGGTCATGAAGACTTAAAAAATCGATTTGACTTGTAAAAATATCATTGGCGTTCAATGATTTTGTTCGTTAGCGCGCGAGCTAATACTATCAAAGAGTGGGTTTGAACGGCAAATGCTTTGGTTAAGTTTGTTATCTACAAAGCATTGAATACTCTTCCTAAAAAATGGAGGATTTAAGAGAAAAATTGCTAATTAAAAATTATGTTTATTTTTCAGCAGAATTTTGAAATTCGGACAGGTTAGGCAAATTATTAGGAATCAATTGAGAAATGGTTCGTACTTGCCTGCACTCTGATTGTTCGAACATTAGTGTCCAAAAAGTGTGACCCACAAATGAAACAATTTCTTTCGTTTTGCAATCTTTATAACACATTATAATTTTTTCATGAAATGAAGCTCATGCAGTTCACGTGAATGAAAGAACTACGTGGACCACATGATCACGAATAAACGCTATTGATTGCCTACGCACTTTTGGGCACGCTAGCTTATTTAAAATTGCTCACGCTTGTAATATAACGACATATCTTGCAAAACACTGATGAAGATGAATCTAATTTAGATTCGAAATATACAGTTTTAATAAATCGTGTGCTAATATTATGCACTCCTTATTCGGAATAACTTAATTTTGTTTTATTTAAGTGATACTTTCTCATTCGTTTTCAAAACCAAAAGAGAAAGACAGCTCCATTTCGTATTATTACTAAAATCTCACGGCTAAGTCTTTCTGACAGTCACCATATTTTTCTGATCAGTGGTTGATCTGCTCATGATTTCTTGAAACATTGAACCAAAGCAACAATTATTGATGAACATTTCAATTTTCCAGCTTTCTGTAACCTATATGATCCACGCAGTTCTTTGGGGATTACTCAAGTAGAAAGTTCACATAATAGAATAACTTTTCAGTTGTCTACTCAAGCCCGTTCATACAAGCTAGCTCAACATATTAATCAAACATTAATTCTAACAAATATTGTTGGATTAAAAATATTGGAATCGCTTGAACACTGCGTTGGATAATGTAAGATTATGTTGGAAGATATGATGTCTTGCGTGATTGGTTGACACATTTCATCAAGTACAGTGTACAGGGTGAAACATGTGACGAGCGGAAGTGATTAGGGAACACTCTCCTCCAACACTATTCAACAATTTCCAACATTGGAAGATGCTGTCGTTTAAATGGGGCTTATTGATAACGGGGTTGTTTTGTTGTCATTACTTCCCATACGTATATATCCAAGGCCACTTCAAAACGTATATACCCACACAAACGAACCCAGTGTTTCTTGCAGTATTTGTCGAATGATGATTGTGATTTTTACCATGGAGAACTAACTTCTTTTTCCTCATTTCTTTTACTATAAAGATTATAGATTCTCCTCTAAAGCAACAGTGGAACGTAGATCTATATGGACGAGTTGCACTAACAGTTTTGTTTAAAATGGAAGGAAAAGTCGTAAAACTCGCTCTTGACGGACTAGCAGGTTCAGTTGGCTATGCAAGTTTTGGAGGTACAGTATAGCCGATAGTTTAGCGGTATCTTATTTGGAAAATGTATCATTGTGTGACGCTAGTGTATAATCCATAAATTAGCGAGAAAATATATCGTACATGGTTTGTAAAAACTCGCGTTAGAATGTATGGACTCCAAACTACAACGGAGTCAGTTGGAAATGCACGTCTCTGCGTGAATAGCGTCTTTAAATTAGCAACAAAAAGCAACTGTATTTTGAAGGAAATAATTTGTTAGGTGATGGCGGTACTTAAGAGGCTCTCTACAGTTATTAGTGGAATTTGAAGATATTTCTAGGTTCGTACGCCTGGAACATTCGTTGTATCTTTGACACAAGCTGAGAAACTAAATTTTGAGTGCTTATATTGAAATTTTAAAATTACCAAAACCAGTATTTTTAAATAGCTGTTAGTTGGAATCGAAATATACGTATGTTATATTAACTACTTTTCAAGCTTTCTTCCTGCCTGCTTTTTGCGTTTTAATGTTTAGTACCATTTAATAACTACCATGATATATGGTCAATGGTAGTACTGTACGTTTACCCAGCATTTTTTTGTCTTGTCCTCGTAGTTCAGTTCTAATGGTAATTATTGTTGTATAGTAATATTAATATTAATTATTGTATAGTAAACGTCAGTAAAAACACACGTTTGTGTAGCTATTTCACAATTTTATTTTTTTATTTAGGCTCTCTTGGCAAAGAAGTACATGGAATGGAAGGAGGATTTTTTTTCACGACCGTGATGGCTAAGGATCCCTTTGTTAACACCTCGTTAAAAAACTTCGCCGATATGAGCGCAGAGAGGAATATTTCGTGTTTTTTGAGTACAAAAATTTACAAAGAAAAAAATCGTTTCTATCACACCGAGATAACTGACAGTCTTAGCTGTGTCTTTAGAGGCATTTTGAAAGTTGGTGGTCTAAGATTTCATCCATTGCAGGTAAACCTTCGAATGAGGAAGTCACTTGATGTAAATATTGAAGGTCATAATACCTCCAAATTGTCACAAAACATTGTTGAACTAATTGGAGTGTACACAGAATCAAAAATTTCGACCTTCGGGATATTTAAACGTTCTCCAGAGGGCTGTGGGAAAATTCAATTTTCCTTTGCTCAAAATACACCGAAATATTTCGGATCATTTTGTGCTCTTTGCAACATTTTTGGCATGGAGAAGTTGGTTAACGTCAGCATTTCTTACGAAGGATTGAATTTTCAAGTTAGCGGGAAAATGTATGATTTGTATCAGACAAGCATGAACTGCTCGACTAATTTATTGTCCTGGGAAAACCAAGTATACGAAGTGGAAGGTCGATTTGAGAAGAGCGGAAGAAGAAATGACTTTGTAGCTATATTAAAGAAGGAACTAGACAATTTCGCTCAAAATTTTATATTGCAGGCCGAGAAGCGTGTACAAGCAGTCGATCGAGCGGTTAAGCGTGCACATGATAGGTTGGAGAAAGTACTGTTATTAAGAAACGAAGCATCCAACAAGCTGGAACAGATGACTAGTGAATACGCATTTGTAACGGAGAACTTTGAAACGGCTGAACAATACTTGGAATTTTTAGAAATTGAGGCGCGCAATTTTTCGAAAGACCTGAAGAAATCAAAATCGGATTTAGATAGCCTGTGCGACATAAAAGTATGCCCCGAGGTGTGTCAAGAAGGCATATCCTGCACGACGTGCTATGAAGATATCATTGCAAATTCCATGGGAATGTGTCCTGCAACTTGCTCTAGAACTGAACAACGGCTAGTTCCACCGTACTCCGAAGTAGCATATTGCGATAGACAAAGTTGTAAAAGAATTCATAGTACAAACGGATTTTTTAAAAGAGTTTTTGGAACATTTTTTGGTGGGGTGGTGAAATCAGTTCTTTCATTTGGGATATCACTCGTAGCTGGAATATTTGTACCGCCACCGGCTGCTGCTGCTATCGGTAGTGGTATAACAACATTTTTAGACACGGGAAGACCAGAGGAAGCAATTTGTGCAGCAGTCAAGGCGGCAACGGGTACTGAATTGGCTGAAAAGGTTGGTGGAAAGTTTTCAAAATATATCCCGGAGATTGTAGACACGCAAACTGGGTCTAAAGTATTAAAATTGGGTACTAAATTAGTTTTTGGAAATTTGATAAAATGCCAACGAGAACAGAGAGATGGCAAATGGAAATGCAGGGTGGAGACTGTACAATGCCAGAAAGGAAGGTTCGAATACGAATATAAGCATGTTCCATATATTTGTAAGAAATCCTGCGTGATCCAAACGATAACAAAAACTGTGGAAAGGAGTTGTTGTTCTAATGTCTCTTGCGCATTGTTTATTGTGAACGTATCTTGTGTTGCTGAGAATGTACTTTGTAAGAAAGCAAGAGTTGATGCCTTAAAAAAAATAATTAAGACCAAATCTCAAGCGGAAAACGTATTAAAAGTTTTGGAGGACGCAAAATCGAATTCTTCTTATTGGAATCTGAGAAGACAGAAAAAATACAGATCGTTAATAAGGCAACGCCGTTGGTTTAACACTACGCAAACAACAGTTCATAGTCTTGAAAAAGCTTACAATAACACCATTGAATCCAAAAAGAAAATCGTCAATATATTTTCCACACCTCTTGGGATAGTAAAATCTCTTTTAAATGAACAGGAAAATTCGCTTGAGGGATTAAAGGTGAAGAAAACAACTTTTAAAGTGAAGCTGTTTGCAGGAAGTAATGACATTGTTTTGCTGCCAATAGACATCACAATCCAAGCAAACAAGACACTGCATCACCTACCAACTGTGTTTGATTTTGCACACCCCAATTCATCATTAAAAAGTATAGCTGGAGAGATTATGGGCAAGATTATTGGGAATGTTGACAGGAGTTCCAGAAAGAAACGTTCAGTTGAAACGCCTTTAATTAATTCGGACATATTACTTCTTTCGCTAAAACAATTCCACACTTATTGCGCAAAGTTCACAAATTATTATCAGACATTATACAACGTAGCAATCTCGCTCTACAACTTGTCCTCGGAAATGGTGTTTCTCAAGCAGTCTGTATTCGAAAGCGACCGTTCCGCTCTTAACATCACCAATTTAATACGGGTACCTAAGATTGCTTTGAATGAAACTACGGCATCCCGCTTGGGACTGGAGAAAAGAAATTACTCTCGGCCAGAATATTTGAAATACGATCTTGAGATGTCCGAGGCAATTGAACTTCAGAAAGAAGAAATGCTGAAAAACTATGAGCATTTAAATTCCACAAGTAGGCTGCTGGTATACAACTGGTTAGCTACGATGGAAGAGGTGTTTAACTCTTCTCGATTATCTTACGAATGTAGTGGAATGAACGACTGCATCGCACATATTCTTGATAGTATGGTGCAAATGTTCTCGGTGATCGAGGCTGACGGAGTAGATCTTATTCGGCGAAAAATTGACAACCTTGAAGATGCATTAGGTGACTTGACAAATGATATGACGATTGATGAAGCAGTGAAATTGTCATCTGGAATTTTGACCATTTTGAAAGAAATGGTCGAACTGGAAGTAATGTGCGCCCAACCGCCAAATATAACGAAAAATCCAAGCCCAATTACAGAGTTGGGTATTGGAAATGTTTTGATGTTGCAATGCAACGCAACCGGAACTGCGCTACTATATTCTTGGACATTTAACGGACATGTTTTGCCAGACGAAAGATCCAACGTACTGACAATCGACAACTCTACCTTAGCGAATAGCGGAAATTATACTTGTGTAGTATCAAACCATATTGCAAAAGAAAGATCAAGTCGTGCTCTCGTTATTATTCATCGACCTCCTGTCATAATTAACCAACCAGTGAGATACTTGGCGATAGTTTTATCCGAGGATGACTTTTTACACTGTAAAGTTGAAGAGACTGGCAAGAATATCTCGTATCAATGGTGGTTTAAATCTGCAAACGCTTCGTCATCGTTTGCGCCATTATACAACGAAACGTTTTCTTATCTGGATTTTTCTCCAATGAGAACGAAATACGAAGGGTGGTATTTCTGCAAAGCTTCTAATTTATACGGTGTAACGTCGTCGCGCATAAGTTTTGTTAAGGCAGTGTCATTTACTCTTCCAGTACCTATGGCAGTCTTGTCGTTCTCCTTAAATAGAAAAACAGTCCATGTTAATTCAACAGTCGAACATTCCAGCACTATTGGCTATTCTGTCATCAGTTCTCACATACTGAGCCAAATTTTGTCTGCCAAAAAAAATAGCGATGGTGTGCATGTAGACAATTTGCGACCTATTAACTGTCAGTTGGAGAAGATGAAAAATAAAACTAACGGTTATGTCGGAATATGTTCTTGGAAGTTTCAGTACACCGGTAGGAATGTGACCTCCAACATGACTGTTTACAACGATTTTAAAGTCAATGCTGGCATGATAATCAACGCTACGCAAGAACTAAGTGAAACAATACAAAATTTGGTGAATAGAACAAACAACGGTTCCTTATCCTTCTCAGTTGCTGGTAGTCAATACTTCGCAGAAAGAAATAGCATAGCAGTTGAAAAATTTTCACTGTTTTGTCCGAAAAATCAGGAGCTAGTCCAGCAAGATTTCAAATGTGGTAAGATACATTTTGAACAAACTTTTTTCGATACGTTGGGAATTGAAGCGTGTCAGCAACGCCCCATCTTAACTAAGTAATTATTCACCTTCCCATTGTAACGATTTCTCCCAAAACATGATGGTAGATGGCAAAATTTTGGTGGTGGGAGCGAACATTATGTTTCATGGACAATCCAGCTCTACACCAACTCTACAGCAAGAGCGAACAGATTATTCAAATATAAAAAATACTTTAATATTCTACATAACAGAGCCACTCCATTCTTTTCAATTCCCGAAATGTTGCCAATAAATTGATATTTCGTTTATTTTAGTAGCTTCAAGGTAGTCACTTTAATTTACAATGAAAACAAATTGACTAATATAATTATTATATTCTCTACTTTTTCAAGTCGTTTGTCCACCAGGATATCATGCTGTACTTGGCAAAGACAAGCTGACGACATGCGTACCTTGTCCATTGGGCTTCTATCAAATAGAAGCTGGCAAGGCAACTTGCGCTCAATGTCCAAAGGGATATACCACTCACCAAATTGGATCATATGAACACGCTCACTGCAGAGGTATTTGAATAATAATTTAACAAGATTATAACTTTTAACCTTCCTCAATGTGAAGTTCCATGACAGGTAGGAAGCGCGTATCAAAGCGCGTATAGCCCTGCACACGAAACAAAGTAATTTTTGCTGGATTTTTAACAAAATATAGTAGCTTGCAAGATTATGGGATGACATAATGATAATTAAATGATGTTCATTATATTTGCGTCATTTAAAATACAAGGGCACACAAATGTAACAATGAGCAAGGAAAAAAACCACCGTTGATAAAATTTTCGCCACGTCCATTATTACGGCGACAAAATTTGGAATTAATCTAAGTAAGAGAAAATTCAACTTATATATGAGACAGCAATTTTTTATGCAAAATAATTTGTATGGCAAAACTGTGTTTCATGTTGGTTTGCCGCGTGTCACGTTCTATTAAACGCTTACATCTGACAACATTTCGAAGTTGTTGACAGTCTATATCACTATACCCAACTAGTTTGATGCGACTGGCCCACCAAGTAGCAATTGCATGATTTCAGCTCTGACAAAGAGGATATATCATCATTGGAGACTGTCGTCTCATGTGTGTTGGAATTAATTAAATGAGAATTTATAGCAGCTTTTCTTTTTGCCTTAATCCGATAATTTAAAAGAGAATTTGCATTTTTTTCTGGTGCAAACCCCTTGTAGTTTTTGTGCAGTCGTTTAGTTTCGCCTACTCGATTGCAGATATAATAAGCATTTTTGGAAAGCATTTCAACGATAATGGCATGTTTTCAGATATTAGTAAAATAAAATTTAAAAAACAAAGCAGAAGTATTTAGTGCAGTTTCACTTTAGGTCGCCGTAATGCGAATCAGATAGCGTTTTCGTGCATGTGACGGGCATGAGTAGAATGGTGTGGTATTTTTCAAAAAAATATTTCCCAAAGACATATATTTAATTATTTTTAACTGTGAGAATAGTTATTTATAAGGTCCTTCTTCGCTAGGAAAATGGAGAGAAAAAACCGGACGAATCCGTTGGTACATGGAGGCTGAATTGAAATATAGTAAATCGTCGTAGGTTAATTAATTAATTAATTAATTAATTGATTAATTAATTAATTAATTAATTAATTAATTAAGGGTCGGCATAGCTCTGGGGCAATCGAATTGACTCAGACCGGTCATTGGCTTGCGGCTGATACTACGATGGATTTCCAACGTGAGTTTGTACGCATGCTCGGCAATTGTTGCAAAATATAAACAAAGTATTTAGAATTTCTCGTCAAAAAATTTAATATGCTCTTTACACTGAAATCGATTTTAAAAAACCCAAAGCTTCGGATTGATAGGCCGTCATACAACTACCTGAAAAGTACAATTAAGTAGAACTTCGACGTTTCGAGCGAAGGCGCTTCGACTTGTAGGCTACTGTTAGTGTTTGTATACATCGCTACTTTACTGATAAATATATAATCTCCTCAAGAATGAAAGAATGTTTGCTGTGAAGTGCGGACCTGAGCTTACCGCTTGATGTCTTTAAAACTGGATTAAAGGTTTAAATTTCCTTCACATTGGATTATTGACGTTGCTCTCATATACTATATATGAGCTTTAAAATTTCAATTTTACTTTCCTACCACACTTCACAGCAGAAATTCTCTCACATTCTTGAGGAGATTATATTTATAATGAAATCGACGGTATAAGTAAAGTGCGATGTATACATACGCTAACAGTACAAGTCGAAGCACTTTTGTTCGAAACGTCGAAGTTCACCTTTGCTCGAAGCGTCGAAGTTCTCCTATCAGTCTGAAACTTTCGTACATATATTTCCCCCAGAATTTTTAGTTGCTTTCAATCGATTTCAGTGTAAAAAGCTAAGTATCAAATTTTCGACGCGAAATTCTAAATACTTTGCTTATATCTTGCAAAAATTGCCAAGCATGCGTAGAACTCACTTTGGAAATCCAACGTGAATCATTTCGATTTTTCCAGAGCTATTCCCCCCCGCCCCCCCCCCCCTTAACCTGCGAACGGGCATTCTCTGGGGACGAGATTGATTCATTCCCCAATAATTATATTAGAAACACAAGCAACATTGATTTAACTTGAAGTATTAGTAACGTTGAATGCAGGCTCGCGTTTTGGTCAGTTTTCCCATGACATCCCGATAATTGAAAAAAATTATCATTTCTCTACAAAACGCCGAAAATAGTTGAAAGATTAGTATATTTAACTATACAACAATACATTTCCGAAATATGTAGCTACTGTGGGTATTTTTTTTTTCATTTCGTCAGCTTTGATTTATAAAGTAAAACTTAATCTGAATGGCTTCTTAAATATTTGGAAATTTTCACTGCTTTTGCCGATCAACTGTTTCTACTTAAGAAAACGAAATAATTTCAACTGGCTGACTAATCTCAGTTTTTCAATATTAATTTGTTATTCTTTACATTAGTTAACTTTTTCTTTAATTTAAATTAAGAAGAGTAATTAATTTGGAAAGTTGCAGCTTCATTATTAAATTAAAAAGGTAAAGGAAAACAATGCATGTTTTTTTCATGAAAATAAAACTCTAGACTTTGTTATTGCTTCTCTCGAGCGGTTTGTGGATTAAATCAATACGAAACTAATTACGTAATAGTGTAGATAGAAAATACATCATTTGAAACTTCTTATTTGATTTAATCTCCACAGCTATCTGCAAGCCTGGTCAATATGGAACAGTCAGAGAAGGAATTGGATATAGATCGCATGTCCCTTGAACGAGTATCAGCCACACGAGGGTCAGTCTGAATGTTTACCATGCGATAAGGATCATGTCACTCGAACAGAAGGAGCATGGGAATCAAACCAGTGTATATTGAGTATGTTGTGCCTTGTGGAGATATATTATGCAAGTTGGGTTATGAGAGCGTTTATTATGCTTGCAGTCAATATTTTTTTTCTAATTTCGGAGCTACAATTAAATCACCACAAAAAAAATTGAAAAAGCAGGGAATCTTCGATTCCAGCTGTTGCCAAAATATTTGCAATATGCACTATTAATAACGGCTTATTGACCAAGCGTGAGGTCTGCATGTACCGTGAAATATCAGACCGAGGTTTTTTAGAAAAAAACATAGGTCTGATATTTCACAGTACAGACCGAACAAGCGAGGTCAATAGCCGGTTTATTATATGGCTGAAGTGAGTCTTTGAGTTTGTGGGTGACAATATACGGTAGGCATGCATGTTCAATCAAAAACAATTTGGTTGTTTGAAATTTTTATCTGTAAATTTTAATGACACACAATTTGAAAATTTAAAAGCAACATTTTTTGTTTGTTTGCAAAGCAAAAATTTCCCACCAGATAAACGACATCCAGGACACCGGTCCAGATACGGAAAATACGGACCACGGTCTGGATAAGCTTTTTACGGACCGCTTGCCAACCAATCAGATTTAATCAACTTCATCTAAATACAAAAGCTGTGACTTGGACTAAATCTTTTTACTTGATAAGTTTGTTAATTTTTTTACTTTTGCGTGTAGCTCCAGAGACAACTGAATTACCAAATATAACAACGGAGAGAACAACGAAGAGAACAGCAGAGAGAACAACGGAAACGGTACATGAAGAGAGAGGCAGCAAGGACGGCGAAAACTCGAACACAAGTTTGATCATTGGACTGACGCTCGGTGTTTCATTTCTGATTGTCGTTTTAATAGGTAATCACACGCTAACAGTTTTATTGTGCGGCGTTAATTCGCTGTGGCTTTGTATTCGAATTACATGAAATATGCGATAAAGATACTCCTTTTCAAATCACAATAGCCAAAGTGCCCGCTTAATTTGTTGTGAAATGTCGAACCAGGTTCAAGATTTCAGCTAAACACGAAGAAAATTTATACAATTCCTTCCCCGTTTGTAACCGATTTATCGACTTGATTTTAATGATTTTAATGATTTTAGCGAAATCTACTAAGTAGTACAAAACGAGTGTTATATTTATATAAAAATGTTATCGATCTTTGGAGTAACACTTGTTTTGTATTTTGTAAACTGCTGCAGGAACACATTGCTATTTGAGCGAACTGAGATTTTTCAATTAACGGGCAGTGAAGATTGAATTGAGTATAAAAGTATTGCGTCGTGTTACTAATCTTGATGTCATATTTTCAATATGACATTTTTCATTCGTGTAAGATCGCTGGGCTGGAGAACGTTCCAGTTTCCCCACATTATATGAGGCCATTTAAATATCTAGAAGGTACAGTTACGAAATGCTCTAGTTTTACTTTCAATTTAAAGGTGATGTAAAATCCGTAATGTGACCAAACGCTTTGTTTACATTTTGAACTCAGTGCTACAGTTGTAAAATATGTGATTAGATGTATATTATACTGAAATTTTAACACTCTTCTTGTTCGCTATGCTTGTAAATGAATACATGCAAACTAGAGATTCAATTCAAGAAAGTTTGGAAGGTGCGAGATATTAACAACATGCCAATGGGCGGTTCTGGTTCCCTATGCTTGTAAATGA